AGATTAAATTATTCATTGGCTAATTTATGTTCATCACTTGTTCCCTGTGTTTTAAAAAAAATTCAAGGAAATTCATTCATCCACCATGTAATACTATTTTTTCTCATGGTACAGACTAAATATGATACAGGACATTGGTGATTTGATGAATCCATTGCCTCAGGTTCAGAAATATATAAATATGAAAAAAAAAATCTATTTGAAGTTACATTTTCAAGTCTGTAGCAATTCCCATCTTTTGACCAGGGAAGGTTTTTGATAATGAAAATTGAATCCATTGTTGAATCTGAGCTTCCTGTTATTCTGTATGACTGCTGTGAAATGACATTCCAGTAAGATAGATCCAACCTTGAGACACTAAATCCTGCAGCATAATGCTCACTTGAGATTTTAGCAAAAGAGCAACATGTACTAATGGCCACCTTCTGTTTAACAGTCCTTGTCTTTATTTATGTTTTTAAATATTTGATTAAATGACCTTTGAACTGTAATTTCTTTTTCTGCAAACAAATGGTTGCGCGCTAGGAAAACAGATGAAAAGTTTGATTTGAGCTTAAATTATGGTCAAACTGTTAACTGCACACATATGGAATAAATTTCCATTCAAACTCTAATAATTTAAAAACAAAAAGTGTTAACAAAGCTGTTTAAACTCAGCCAAACTAATGTGCACAGTAAAAAATGAAACTGATTGCAGCAATAACATGCTACCATTGCCAGCATGCCATTATTGTTAGGTTTAGCACATTAGCTTTCAGTTCTACTTTTAAAAAACAGTAAAAGACATAAAAAATAATGCTGTTATCAACTACCTTTTGGGGGGAAATGGCTTTACTCATCAATGCCAGAGCTTTTAACTCTAACTATCCTTTTTCTAAGTGGGATGAGTTTTTTCCATAGGTTTAATAGATTTTATATAGAGCTTTTGACTAATATCATGGCCGGGAGTACTTTCTGTTTTCTCTAGTTTAAAACCTACCAGCTTTAGCTGGTTTATAGCTCTGTGATTTGTAGAAGGAGTGAACTGTTTTCGTTCAGTCTCTGATGGTCTCTGGTTCCAGGCCTTCCCTGCAAAACTCAGAGAGAAAGGTACAGTGGCATGGTTGAGCTATCTAGTTGTTTGAAGGCGGACCACACTTACTGTAACCTTTGATCAAAGTGCAAAAAAATGCAGTTCCTCTCCAGGTGGGACAGGGGAGACCTGTGGAACAACCGTAGGTGAAGAGGCTTTCTATGGGAAAGCTTTTATATGTATGATCTGCAGGAGGTCCAGGATGTTCAAGAAAGCTTATCCTCTTGCTGTATACTGAAGATATCAACTCAGTTCAGTTTGAATCAAGCCATAATTGGTTTCTGCTCTGGTCCCCTGCACATCAAAGTGGACGTCCTGAGTTTTACCACTGGGTGAGACAATAAAAAAGGTGACATAAATATTTCTCATTCAGTGATTAGATTAGACTCATTAGACACTTTGTGAAGAAATGCATTTGATATTAAGATCTGAAGATTTTGCTACAGACATTATAGTTGTGTTTAGCTGTTTACCTAAAGTAAACAGCAAAACAACTTCAACTTACCTTCGCTTTACATACAAATATCTTCCGTATTTTTCAGATGCCATATTTTCTGTTTAATAACCCCGCTAGCCATGAAATACCAATAAGAATCTGCACTTTAAAAAGCATATATATATATATATATATATATATTTTTTTTTTTTTTTTTTTTTTTTTTTTTTACAAGCCAGGCAGGGAAACAATCCAGAACAGGATGGTTTTGAGATCCAGGGGTCTGAAGAGGTTCCAATCAGAACATGAACAGACAAATCCAGGGTTCCATGAGTTCACAGAGAGTTCAGGCAGGTTCAGGGTTCCAAGACTCCAACAGAGTGTTCAGGTAGAAAAGTTCAAAGGCAAACAGGTAGGCTCAGTAGTTTAGAGGCAGAAACAAGACATGATAACCGTAAAACTATGGAACACTAATCTAGCTCCCTCCACTGAGCCAAACACACGAACAGGACTCGCTCAGTGGATAAGAGCCAGGACATGATCAGGAAACACAGAGACAACACTAAAAACCCTCTCTCACTACTGGGCTCCAAAAACAAGAACATGAACTATTGAAATCCGCAATGATCTCCAACTAAAATGCAAACAAACAAACTTAATGATCTGGGGTCCGTTTCATGAAGCAGGTGTAACAAATTGAGATTCAAATCTGTAACTCTAAAATGATCTAGCCAAAAGTCGGGAACTCTGAGTGTTCGGTTTCACATTGGCTCCTATAAATTAATTCAATCAATTTTAACTAGGTTCACTTTAGAGTTAAACACGTGCGCAACAAGTATGAAAAGCCATTATCATTGGAGAACACATTTGACGAGTCAGCATGACAACAGGCAACAGGAAGAACATATTTCACCTCACTGGAACTAGAGATTTTAATACAGAAATGCAAAAAAATAAAAAAGGACAGAGAAACAACGCTACAGCTAAAAAATAAGAAGAAGATGGCGAAGGAGAAGATTGTTGCTCAAGTTAATAGTAAGTTTACTTACAGGCCCTTTTACATTTTTACTAAAATCACTCCTCTCTATTGTTCCATTTTCGATAAAATAAGATTCTTCCTGATCAGAATCACACTCCTAGACCTTACTGTAATAATATATTTTCTACATTATAGTTTTGTAGCAGAAAACAGAAAAAAAAGTAAAAAAAGTAAAGTAAAAAAAAAAAAAAAAATTATTATACTTATAAAAATTATTATACTTATAAGAATTAAGTTTTGTATTTCTAGAAATGTTGACACATTTTAAGTGGCCGTTCTGACTGAAAATGTTTTTATGATATCTCGAAGAAAAAAAATTCATAGTTAAAATAATACAAATTCTGACCAGTAATATTAGGAATAGTGAGATCTGAAATCAATTTCTAGACATCAGGAGTGTTTATTCTAGATATAGAGAGTGTCATTTTGTTTGAAAAGGTCATTTAGACAAAGGAATTTTTTTTTTTTTCAGATATCAGGAATACATATTCAGTAAAACTAGTACATGTCAAAATGGCTTGCCAAAGTGTTGTTACCTGTTGTTATTACGGGATTATATCTTGAATGGTATTAGATCAATGTATCCATTTTGGTGAAATATTTTGGCCGCAGCTGAGGATGAAGTCTTAAAAGTCTTCTTGCTGTTCTAATATTTAGAACCTGTGCATCATCTCATGCGTCCCTCCTCATGTTGATTCAGTCTTCTTTTACACAGTGAAGTGGCTGTTTGCAGCTGCACTTCAGAAGTTCTTTTTTGTACTGTTAATATAACTAAATTAGAATAAAATGATCTGCATCTTGCTCATATTAAACAAACCAAATAAAAGTAATCTCCCGTCTTGTCAACTGAGTTGTAGAATCCTCTCCCTATAAATATTTAATTGTCTGTGAAAAAGTGCAGATTGTTCTTTTATAAGATCCTCATCAAACAGACATGCAATGTTTGTCTTTAAAACAATAAAAATATATATAAATATATATATATATATATATATATATATATATAGTGAAATTAACAATTAGATCAGCTGTCAGTGCAACAATCATGACAGCATGTGGACCTTTACCGGGCTCTGAGTGGCTGATGTGTTATTGCTTCAATCATTAAGCCACAGTATTTTTGGATCATTAGAATACATTAAGAAAACCAGTTGTTTTAAAAAATAAAAAGTCACATAAATTTTGACTTTATAATTTTTTTTTTTTACTTTTGACTTTGCAGGGTTAAATATTACATTCTATTCAGCACAAATCTGTTTATTGTCAGACTTTTCTGGGGGACAAATTACTGATTGCTCTAGGAAAATCACTCTTGGTTTGTTAATAGCTCCTCTTTGAGTTACATGCCCACAGCTTTCTTTGTTGTATATCAAGAGATGAAGAGTTTATACTGTGTTTAAGAGTCTCAGGATTTGGTCATATCAGTATTACAAATAGAAATAGTCAAGGGATGCTGTCAGACCCATTTGAGGTCTGGTTTTATCTCATCGCCAGCTGTTCTGTTCACTGTCTGACCTCATCCACCGCACCATGATATGACTCAACCCTGAAAACTGATGTGGTTTATTGAGATCTTGGCTGCATATGCTGGCCATTTACAGGAGTTTTCAGGGGTCCCTTTTAAGAATCCATTTAAACATTAATCTGAATGTCCAGGACGGGGAACATGTCAGTGTAAAACAAAGAAAAGTCAGATAACGAATAACCTCTAGATGTATGGAAACTATGAGTCACTTGCTGCTATTTGTTGCTATAGACGCTTGTGTTTATATTTGTTTGTAAAACCATGTGGTGACTCAGAAGACTTTCAAGAATGAAAGTTTAAAACATGTTCTAACACAGACTGTTCTTCTGGGGGCTAAACAGCAGCGCCCAACTCATTGACTTAGATTTGTATGGTCTAAGGGTGAAATGAAAAAGCCCTGCAAAGGTTGCAAAATGAATATTACTAAGACTTTAGTGTCATTGGCCATTTTAAATGTGGAAGAAGACATTCAGACGACCTGGCCTCTTTGTGAGCCACCCACCTGTCTGATGCTGGTTAACACGGCTTGTTAAGGCGAGAGCTCTGGAGACCTAATTTCCTGCAACAGCCTAACAATGGGAGAAGAAATCTAGGGCATTTGGAAAAGGTGTTACATCCTAACCCCTTGAAGGGAAGTAGGAGAAATTCCCAGTTCTTCACACAGTGTGAAAGCAAAAATCACATTCTCAGAAAATCTCCTCAAGTGTGACCCATGATTTCTAAAAGTACCCTTTGCTAAGTTTGGTATGCCATTCAACTTTTTAACCTGGGATCCTGTGAATTAGGAGCTGCTGTTTATCAGGGAAAATAAGAAACAGCCTACAGGCATCAGCAGCTGCTGTTAGGGGCCAGAGTGAAGAGATTTCCCTGGTCACTCCTTCTCTGCATGGGGCAGTCTTAGGAAGGTTTAAAAGCAGGTTCGAGCCCTGATGCTCCTCCCTTAGCAACACTCCTACGATCCCCCTCTTTCTTATTTAGAAATCAAATACACCACAAAAAAAAGTCAACTGTTTAAAACAGACTGGACATGTCAAGCTTGGTTTAAAAGGGAACCAGTGCAAGATCTAGCAAATCCAGATTTGAGTCCAAAATGAATTTGTGGACATCTGTCTTTTTGGTCCTGCAGCTGCTATTAAACCTGTGCTCACATGCTGAGGCCCAGACCTTAGGTAAGTGTTACCTTTCAGTTTTCTTTTTAAGTGTTGCATTGGTACAGCCAATAACAATTTAAATAGCAAAGGGTTAATGCTTCCTTTGAAAATCCTGTTTATACTGTGAGCCTGTTTGGTCTGAATTTTAACACAGAAATAAATGAAAGGATCCAGTTTTTAAATATTAAGTTGTTATGCAATCCTCCCTTTCCTTGAATATGTCAAAGACGATTTCATGGCTCCACTACACTCTGTTTTACCACACGTTTGTTAGATTTAATAGTATAATGGTGAAGCAGCGTCTGTGAAAGCGAATACCATTTGCACACCCATAGAACATAAAGGATTAGACATCCTGAGTGGCACACACAGAGGTGTGAGGAAAAATCCTAAATATTCCTGTCAGCTGTTGAAGAGATGAAATAGTTGAATTATTCTTTATGTTTCTGACAGGAAGTGGAAAACGAATAAAGGCAGGTGAAAGTTTTAATGCCATCCTATTGAAATCCTGCGAGCCGTAACGCTTTGATTAGTTCAGCTTTCAGGAGTTTCAGCTTTCTGGCTTCAGTTTATTTAAATGAATTTCCAGCTTGGTCAAACACATGGGAATAATCAGGGATGACTATTTTTTTAAACATCATCCTCTCTGTCTCTGGTACACACAATCAAACACACATATTTCACCAAAGTCACACATAAATACAGACCTGCTGATGGTGGAAGGTTTGGCTTATTATCTCTATACTAATCACACCAGGTGATCGATGGCTCACCTTTCAAGAAGTCATTAATCCCTGCAATGCCTGATGTTATGGATACAGCCACACCAAATTAATCAAGTATCATTTCCCTTGCAAATACAAGTTTGCTCCTCTAGAATTCACTGAGTGTGACCAATTTGAAGCTATAACTCCAGTTATATTTTATAAGACTGATAGGGCCGTGGCTTTGATAATTGCTGCGATTATTGAGCTTTTAAACTTTTTTACCTCCAGGGGTACAAAGAGTCTGCTGAGGTTTCATTTGCAGTATTGTTTTTGCGGAAAAAAAAGTGTTGTGACAAGTTACAAGTTGATTAGGTATATCTCAAAAAAAAATTTGAAATACCATGGAATATGATGTTTTTACTTATCTAGATCCAGAAATTAGGCCCGGATGATAATATGGCCCCTGGCTGTTATTAAATACAATTAAGCTGGTTAGTAATAAACCTATTTGATTTGGAAGTAGTACTCACCTACTGGAACTAAAAAAAGGCCAAAACCAAAATGTATGTATTTTAAAATACAACTATTGAAGTAAAAAAATGAAATTAAACAATTAAACTAAAAAAGTTTTTTTTTTCATCTGTTCACTTACAAGGTAGATATTATTTGTTTTGTTTGTGTTTATCCTATAGAACGCTCCTACAGAATGCTCCCAACTTAAACCCATGATACATAACATGTATGAGGTATAAATTCTGATTATAATTAAATAAAAAGCCAACTGATGTATGTATTACCAAAAATACCAAATAAAAAAAACTTATTTATTTTGCATGGACCCAAAATTTAAGAAGATTATGTTTTAAGTAATAAAAGCAGGGATTTCAGGTCTAGTTTGTTGCTTGTCACCAAGAAATATTCAATTGTAGATCCAGTATGTTAAGATATTAATATTAGGCAATACTAATGTATTGAAATCTTTTGGCTCTAACCTCTAAAATGCATGCTGCAAGATGCTGGAGCTGTAATCAACAAGTTTTTGAAAAAGCAACAAATTTTAAATGTTCTCTTTTGTATTTAAGCAAAAATAGCAAATAGCTTAGTTTTATACTATGACATAAATCTGATTCAATTTCATAAGCCAGCCTAGTAATTGCCTAATGAAATGCCACACAGTTTATGTACAGGATATTCTAATGCTTATTTATTTTTTGTTATTACACCTACAGTTTGACATCATTTTTCAAACAAACCATTAAATAAAAATAATAAACAGCAAAAGCCTAAATGTGGGAAAGGGTAGGCAGTAAACTAGAGATGTTTATTTTTTTTCTATTTCCTTTCTTGATAGTAAACTAACCGTGTCTGATTTATGTGCCGCCTCTAGAGGAAGGACATGACTCTGGATTGCTTTATAGCTTTGAACTGACGTTGTTTTATGGAGCTTGAAATTTGAGGTTAAATGGGTGGAGCGGTGGGGGCTGATATGAGCTATTTTCTCTGGGTATCTTATGAAAGATACCACTGACCCTTTAAAGCCTTCTGTCTGGAAAACTCATGAATAACAGAATACAGTGTATGCATTTACATGTTTATATTGCAGAGTCACTCTAAAGGCTTACAGCGTGCATCAATTTTTTTTTATTATGTTAGCCTTGTCTGAAGCGACTATAAACACACTGTGCTAGATTTTTAGGGACAAAAGTTACACACATTTCTTAAAAGGTTATAAAAAAATATCACATTAGTCCAATTTGGTAGCTCAGATATCTGTATAATGTTTCACAAATAGATGTGTGAGAGAAAAAAAGGGTAGAAATTTTACATGTGAGGGAGTCTTGGCAAAAAAATTGTCCAGACTCTGAGACCATTTGGGAGTAATTTTGCCGCCTCACAGCAGATGCCCTTGCTGACATCTTTATGGTGCTTGTGTATTCACAATGTGTACAGATGGGGGACTAAAGATTCAATGCACATCCTACTGTGGTCTACACAGCTTCCTAATTATTTTTATTAAAGGGAGACGCTAACTGTTTTCTCTTTTCTTGTATTTTGTGCTTCTTGTAGTGTTTTTAAGATTCTGATACTCTTCTTCCAGTTACATTCCAGACTCCAGTCAGTTATATTAAAGCCCTGATGTAAAGATATGAAGAAAAAAAAGTTATTTGAAGCAGCAGCTTCTATTTCCTTATTAATATCTAATCATCTCTTTCTTGTGCACTTAATTTCTCTTTACCTCTCAGAACTCTATGATCTTCTCACCTCCCCTGATTGCTTGCCAGACCTGCTGCAAGGAGGTTTGGCTGAAAAAGGGGTGAATGAGGCTTTCATCTTGACCACCTTTAAGCTGCAACCAAAGACTGGAACCACTGTGTTTGGCCTGTTCAACCCGAGGGACAACAGCAAGTATTTTGAGTTTACTGTAATGGGGAAGCTCAACCGAGGTAAGAAGACATGAAAGAGGAGCTGTTTTTTTTTAAAGCTGCACCACTCAATGTTTTATATAGAATCTGAAATCTTTGATTCTTCTGGATAAGCAGTTTTCAATCATTTTATATTTTGATCCTTATACATTTAGAGTGAAAATGACTTGTAACCCAATTAAACAGGGGGAAATGTAAGAAAAAAGTAGCTATGCTATATTGCTATATTTTCCATTCTTTTATCTTCCATTATTATTTGTGTTACTTATTTTGGTTTATGAAGGGGTTCTCAAGAACCCTAATCTCATTTTATTAAACCCTAATATGAGGATCCTCTCAACAAAATTAAAAGACGAAACATAAAGAAAACTTTAGGAAAGTGTCTTTAACATCAAAAAGAAAATATAAACCACCATTCTGGCTCACAAAATGTTGAAATGTCGAAATATTGGGTCCCACAAAAAAACCCAACTAATCTGATATTAGCATTAAGGCAACAAGTAAACTTAATTTAGATATAGACCAATGTTGTCTCTGCATCAACCTGATTTAGTCGTATATATTTCCTCTATGTTTAAATCAAGTAAAACTACTTTATATAAACGAGTAATTTACTATATATGTTTATAAATACTGGGTCTAGTGTAGGAGAGACAGCACTGAAGCGTTGTAATGACATGCAGCTGATCTAGTAAAAGCCTAATGTCTGTAGTCAAGAGCTCCTAAAAATGTTTGTCATCAATGCAAATAATTTATTAGCATAAACGAAGAGGAAAACAATTAACACTGAGCAAGAAATTGGCATCTTACTTTAAAGTAAGTACTGTAGTGTAAGGTTAAAGTCATATTTTCTCTCTTTTCTTCTCTCTTAAATGGCTTTAATTTCTCAAAGCTGTGTTACGTTACTTGCGGACTGACAAGAGAATGAGCTCGGTTACCTTTAACAACCTGGTGCTGGCGGATGGCCAGCAGCACCGGCTGTTGTTCCACCTGAAGGGACTGCAGCAGCAGGAGCCAGGCAGGGTGGAGCTACATCTGGACTGCAGATTGGTAGAGACTGTCCGGGATCTTCCTGCTGCCTTCCAGGGTTTACCAGCAGGGTACGGTATGGTGGAACTAAGGACAATGCAAGCAAGGGAGCAGGTAACTGAATGCGATAGGCATCTAGTTTCTGTCTTTACTCTGACAGACACTATAAATATAACATTTTGTTTTGCTCTAACAGGAGAGCTTAGAAGAACTGAAACTGGTGGTTGGGGACTCGTTTGAAAACGTTGCATCATTACAAGGATGTTATTTTCAGCAAAAAGACTCAGTTCAAACTTTAGGTAAGAATCTGTGGGTGGAGTTATTGCCCATAGAGAGGGCTAAACACTTCCCTTGACAACATTCCACATCATAAAAGCAACATTTAGGATTCAGTTTATGAGAATATCCCCAATTTTTGTCCAGTTAAGCTAAATAATAGTCCTTTTTTAAGGGGTCAACACAAAGCAGTTGTCCAATCAAATGTTGGAGCTAACAAAGGTGGTAAATGAGCTGAAGGACGTGCTCATTCAGCAGGTAACCTACTTTAAATAGTTCCTCTGAGTCTTCTCCACCCCTGCCTGATTCTAATCTTCAAATCTGGCCATTTCTTTCAGGTTAAGGAAACATCTTTTCTGCGAAACACGATATCAGAATGTCAGGCTTGTGGTAAGAACATTTCCAACCCGTTTCATCCGCCAACAACACTTATAATATGAAATAACTGTGCAATCTGAATACTATTTCAAGGTCTGGGTGGAACAGAGGTGGTGAAACCAAGATGTGCGCCTGGTGTCTGTTTCCGTGATGATATGTGTATTGAGACAGCAAATGGTGTTGAGTGTGCACCCTGCCCAGACGGATACACTGGAGACGGCTTTAACTGTGATGATGTTGATGAGGTAAAGTTGAACAAAACAGATTCCTTGTACCTCTTCCACTTGGTAAGGCACTTTAGTTTTGTTCAGGAGACTGAGGTTAACAAGTTGTTGAATAGGGTCAGGGTTATAATGGCTGCCCATTCTCTCATAGACCCTGCAGGTATACTGTCAAAGCAACGAAATCTAATAAAAAAATTACAAATATAAAAAGATTTTTTTTTTACGGGGAAGTATGGAGAGAAGAGTGCAGTACTGCCCCTCACCCACCTGTTTCTGTGTAGCGCCAGTTTACCTACAGAGGTTTGTTAATTGTTTCCCTTTTAATTTATTTGAATAAATGAATATACTCAAACAGATTGCACACAGACACCTTGATATAAAATAAAAGTAGAAGGTTTTGATAGAATGGGCATACATTTTTAGATCAGGTTTCTTCTGGACGCTGATTACAATTAAACATTGCATTCATGGGGAATTAATATATCACTGCAAACCTTGATTCTTGATTCTTTCCAGTGGAAGTAATTTTCATATGTTCATATACTATATAAATGCTTTACGATTAACAATACCTGATAGTTTTACTATTATGTTAATTGCTGTCCTTTAGCATCAGGTGTGAATTTCCAAACCTCTAACCATCCTCTAGAAAACTCTTGGATTTATCAAGGTACTTTGAGGAAGGACCATCAAAAAGAGACATATGGTCTGAGGACACTTCAAGGGCTCTAACATGGCATAGGGGTAAAAGTGTTGGGAAAAAATAGCAAATATGAGATCTATTGAACAAAAAGACAGGAGTCAGAGTGTGTGTGTTTCCTTGTTTGTTCTGGCCCTTTTTCTAAAGGTTGGCCCCTCCAGCCCCTTTTTTCCCTTTCATTAGCTAAAAGGTCATTGGGTCTAAATTTTTTAGAGAAAATCCCTGTGGAAACGAATACTTTTCTGCTGCTTCAGCAGAGCTCATGTCCTCCTTTTTTTGCAGTGCCAGTTTAACCCCTGCTTCCCCGGAGTGAAGTGTGTTAACACCGCCCCTGGCTTCCGCTGTGATGCCTGCCCCCTGGGCTACATCGGTCTGCCGGTGGAGGGGGTGGGCATTTTATTTGCTCAAACCAACAAACAGGTATGGCTCAGACATGGGAGAAACAATCCAATTTCCTAAGTTTCCTAAGTTCCTGGGCTTTAGAGCTCGGTGTTTTATTTACATTTGCCTATTTTGTTTGTTACCAAACTTCTTGATACTGCACAATATCATAAAAAAGGCATCTAAGTTTATTTCTATTAAAAGCAATAAATTAATAAATAACTCGGATTTAACCTTATCTTCACATTAAATGAGGGCTGTGAATTTGCAAGCAAACTGGCTGATTAAAGCCTGAAATATCTTGGAAGATCACAAATGCAGATGAAGTATAATGATGAGAAAATATGGTGTTCGAAAACAAGCAAAGCTGGTGTAGGAGGACCTGTCAGTAGAAGGGAAATTATGAAAAAATATGTTGTTATGAAACCATTTTAAAATGATTTTAGAAAACAAAGGAAACTTTATTAATGCTTGTTTTTTAATCTTGTTCCTAGAGAAATAGCTCTACAAATCATACACTGTGCTTTAAAACAATCTAGAAATCTTGTAGAATGTTTCAGTCCAGGTTTGATTAATCTTTGATAAAATGTGTTTTAATTTCACTAGTCCCATTCTAAAGTTGCCCCTTTTTTAAAAAAAGTTTATACTTTAAGATCTCAAACTATATAAAGGTTTCCTGAATGCCGAGTCATACTTTCAAGAATTTGTGTCTATAGGTGATAGATTTTGAAGAACAGATGATCCGATGCATTCAAGCCAACTAAAAGAAAACCAATAAAAAAAACCTTTGTGTTAAACTATTTTGATTAGTTTAATACCAACTTGAAATTCTCAAACAGTTGTCAGCTTTAATGTTAGCAATCAAATTTTACTCAGTGACAGTACGGGCACAGAGTTTACGATTCATTCATCTCTTGTCTGTCACCGTTTTTTGATGTGTACTTGAAACACTGTCAGATTAACAATATAAGAGGTGGAAGCTTTTTTAACTGAGTCCTGTCAGCCGACCTGGAAAGAAGTGTTGTCTCTACTGTATTAATACAAGAACTACCTCCCTTTTTGTGTTTAAAATATGAGTCTCAAACACAGGTGTTATATAGGGTTGAAGCCCTATAAATAGCACTGTTATTCACTTCTTGGATTTATATTAATAGTTCACACTTATTTAACAGACAATGCCATAGTGTTAGCATGAAGAGAACACCTGCAAGGTAGATTTTAATTTAATATTGTGATATTTTAATAACAAAAAATATCACGTCATAATAACCTATTGCATCCCTATCTCAGTAGGTAAGCCTTTAGGTGTTTGTTCGTGAGACGAACAAATATATAACTTTCTGGTTACAAACCTGAAATGCAAAGCAATGCATTTTGTTAACTGAGATATTGTTCTTTTTACTGCATGTTTTCCTATTTCGTTTAATGGTTTCTTGGACAAATTACAGGTCTGGGGCACTTTAATAGTTTTAATTTTCAAATCTAGAGAATACAGAAAAAATGACATGGTAGTGATATATACAGTAGATGTAATTTACTGTATATGTTCATGCGAGGCAACAGCCATTTCAGGAACCCTACATTTTCATTCTTAGTTTGCTTCAAGGGGAAAGGTTTTACTACTGTTACGTAAAACAAAAAATTAATGGATTCAACAAACAATGGATAAAATGATTAAAGGAAAGTTGCATTAAATATTTGATCAATACCTATTGTCATATTTTAACAATGGAATTCAAAATACAGAATGAAGAAAACTGAATTTTTGTGATATTTAATGGAGAAAAGAGGTGTTCATTAGACATATCTCTCTGTGGTAATTTCCCATATCTGATAATGAACATTTTTATGTATTTGTTTATATTTTACTTTTATCTTTCACAGCATTGATGTAGTTAAATTTGTAGCTTTCTACCACTCATTGCTATCATTCTGCAAACAATAATCATTGCAGCTATGAAATGAAATTATTTGGTAGAAATATTAAATAGAAATACTTGTTAAGTTAGAATAAGCTGTACAAGACCTGGAAAAAATCTCCAGGGCTAAGAAAAAGAGTATTTTTGTCTTTCCTGTATCAAGTTAACAGAATCACCATCCATTAATATATATTTTTTTCACAAATAATATATATATAATCAAGTGTTAACTCTTAAATGTTCAACTGTAAGTCATCAGCATGAGAACAGAGAGGGAAGTTGTTGTCCTTTATAGAGCTAGTTGGCTTTTGTATATTGTAAATAAAAGTGGCATGAGAATGACACTTTCAGGAATCTGTTTTGTATGTTCAGATTTAGGTTTGGTCACTTTGTAATATTCCCAGGACCAGCTTAACACAGTACCACTTTGAAATCTGTTCACTAGAATCGTATAGTCAAATGAGTCCAACCAGGCATTGAAATCAATACGTTTGTCAATGAACTGCCTTTCAAAAGATATTTGAAAACAAAATGTAGATATAGGTCTGAACTTCCTTCCTTCTTATTCAATATGCAAACGTCCTCTAATTACACGTGTTACCTGTTAAAACCAACTTGTATCTTTTTAATACAGAGCATTTTTTTTTTTTTTGAGTAGGCATTTGTCAGTTTAAGAATAATCTTTTATCTGATTATATAGGTGTGTCAAAGTCCAGTCCTTGAGGGCTGATGTCCTGCCTTTTGCTGATGCCTCCCAAGCCTAACACATTTCAATGATACAAATGAATTACCCTTTTATACATTCAGGCTCTGCAGAGTCTTACTATGACTATAGTAATATCATTAAAAAATTTTAAAACGGAGGCACTACTAAAGCTTTCAAGGATTTCAAGGATCCAATCAAGGATTTCAGTCAGGCACCTGTGGAATAGCGCATGCACCAGTGTTTGCATTGGGTCTAACAGTTGACTATGTAAAGCCAGACATGTCAGACATTAAAACCTTGAAGCCCTCCCAGGTTACCCCTTTTTCAGTCAAATTGTTATATTATTCTGCGGTTTAAATATCAACTCTGGTATTTGTTTCTAATTGACTGCACAGTAGGTGGTTTTGCCATCAGGGGATTTTAACAACTTATTTTCTGGAACATTTCTTTTGTCTTTAGAATCTGTCCCAAAGCCAAACACTATAATTAATGTTGGACACATTTCCCTCATTCCACTGAATCCAGGTCTGCGATGACATTGATGAATGCAAAGGACCTGACAATGGTGGCTGCACTGCAAACTCCATCTGTCACAACTCTGTGGTAATAATAGACCCCAAACCAATACTTGTGGATCTTACCAGATATTCTCCCCATTTGATTTACACTGCTGTCAGAAGAGGTTTACAGCTGCTCTCATCCCCCTGACAGGGCTCCTTTTACTGTGGCAGCTGTAAGTCAGGATTCACAGGAGATCAGGTGAAGGGCTGTGAACCAGAGCTCAGCTGTGGAAACAGCCTGACCAACCCCTGCGATATCAATGCCGACTGCATTCGAGAAAGAGACGGATCCATTTCGTGTCAGGTGGGATATAGGCCCACATTCTTACGCTTTCTGTGTGAGACCTGTTGATATAGCAGGTGCACTTACTGAGAGGTGTTTCATTTGCTTTGTTAGTGTGGAATTGGCTGGGCTGGCAATGGATACCTGTGTGGGAAAGACACCGACATTGATGGATACCCAGATGAAAAACTCAAGTGCAAGGACACAAGCTGTAGAAAGGTTGGTTAAGTTGTACAAGTGTGTCAGAAATAAAAGAAAGAAACTTTGTTTAACACTTTTTTTATCTTTAGGATAACTGCATGTTTGTTCCTAACTCTGGTCAAGAGGATGCTGACAGGGATGGCCAGGGAGATGCCTGCGATGATGATGCAGATGGAGATGGTATTCCAAATGAGCAGGTAATTCAAAATGTTCAGCATTTCTTCAAAAATTCATTAAAACATGCCTTGCATACGTGTATAGTTGAACTTTTCACATATTTCCACATAATCACTGGAATTATTACTTTCATGCTTTTAAATTTTCTATAAATACAATTTGAAATGTCTTTCATTAATTTGTGTTCAGCACCTTATACTGTTACTCCTAAAAATAAATTCAGTTTTAACCCATGAACTGAAAGAAAATAATTAAATCATGAAGCGGCCAAATACCTCTAGGTGACTCTGGAGGAGCTGCAGAGATGCATGGTTCAGGCCTTTTTGGAAGAGCAATTGTTGGGGTAAGGCATTGTGAGATCAGTTTATCAAGCTTGGGTAGGTAGCTGGTAAACATAAAGAGGAATATGGACGAAATTACTTTAAAGAGGAAAACTGGAATTTATTTCTTACCTGTTAGATTTTACAGCTTGGTACAGAATTATTATTTTTTGCAAATAAGAACGGGTGAAAATCTAGATCACTAGGTGTTAAAAACCATTGGAGACAAATGTCAAATCATTTAAAAGACCACACTTTTCAAACACTTTTCTTTCTGTTTTTGTTTTCCAATAGAAACTTGGCATTGGTCGATATTTAGAAAATCCCAACATGATAAAATTGCTTATGGATGTGAAGTGAATAACACCTCAGTGTACTCTGTTTGCTTTAGGACAACTGCCGACTGAAGCCCAACGTGGACCAGAGGAACAGTGATGGAGACAGTCATGGTGATGCCTGTGACAACTGTCGGATGGTGAAAAACCCAGACCAGAGGGACACTGACGGTGACGGCAAAGGAGACGCCTGTGACGATGACATGGATGGAGATGGTATGAACAGAAATGACATCACTAACACTGACGCTTGCATTATATAACCAACATCACCGAAGGCTCTTAATCTTATCCCCTCAGCCTCTTATGTTTGCACATACATGTTCTTACATTAGTGAAGAAAATGTGAGGCAGACGAGGTTGTTTCACGTCACTTCAAATAATCTAGTCTAAATGTATCATTTGGGAGTACTATGATGGGATTCATAAGCAAGCAGAGGAGCTGCAAATGGGGAGAAATAGAGAAAAAGTCGAATCCAATTGCAGGCCGAGAGCAAAAACAAGCTTTGATCATTCACCAGTATGATTACACCTCAAAAATCCCTGCAGGACAGAACATAGCTTGTCTTCCTTCACTGCTGTTTGAGCTGCTTGACCTTTTCAGGTTTGTGGTGCTGATGCTGCCACCCTGTGATGGATAAAAAAAACGCTCAGAACGAAAGCCTCATACAGCCAGTACAACAGTGTCCCCAAGTGGTCAATCTACAAAGAGATATTCACTTGGCAGTACATAAAATAATTTTTCCCCCTCATCTGTCAGTTTTTCTAAAAATATAGCTCTTTATACATTTATGACTGCATTTATGACATCACTTCCTTAATTATAGAATATTTTTGGGAAAGTTCATTTTATAATTGTTCATCATAATTCAATTAAATGCTTTTTATGTCTAAGATTTTGTTCCTCCTTGTGCAACACTATTCTCACTGTGATGGGTAAATAGGTATAAAGAACTTTCTGGACAACTGCCAGCGTGTCCAGAACAGAGACCAGCTGGACCGGGATGGAGACGGAGTGGGAGATGCTTGTGACAGCTGCCCTGATATCCCCAACCCAAACCAGGTTAAACAAAATCCTGTGACCCATATGCAACTAATTCTATACACACACACACACAACAGGCATGCCTGTACTGTAAAAGGTTATTTCACAGATTAGCAATCCTTTACAAAGCATCAGGCACAGGTGTTTTAGTAGCGTGTGATGTGTAGCATTGAAATCCTCTCTTCCTCTTTCAGTCTGACGTTGATAATGACCTCGTTGGGGATTCATGTGACACGAACCAAGACAGGTAAAAACCCAGACAACACATCTGTTACCATGAGGTTCTTCGTTTATTATTGTTGGTGTCATTTTTATATGTCACTTCCCCTGTAGTGATGGTGATGGTCACCAAGACACCAAGGACAATTGTCCACTAGTGATTAACAGCTCCCAGCTGGATAGTGACAAAGATGGGCTGGGAGACGAATGTGACGATGATGATGACAATGATGGGATCCCGGATGTTTTACCGCCTGGCCCAGACAACTGTAGGCTTGTGCCTAACCCTGAGCAAATCGATGACAACAGTGAGTCTCAGCAGATGACCAATAACACAACTCGCAGTGAAACCAGTGTATTCATTATACTGTACGTTCAACACAAATTTAACTGAGCACATCCTCCTTTAAAGATAGCTGGCTGCCATTTTTTGTTCCTTCCTCTGAGCTCCAGTTTTACACCCACACAGATCAGTCGCTGGCAGCCTTGAGCAGATTAAGCTGCGATTTAGGGGGGAGTAAGAGCATACTTTCTGCGTTTGAATTTTTTGCCAATTTCATAAGTCGCTGTGACATTAGTCTCATTAAGTGGTCCTCCAGAGGAGCTGAGTGTCTGTTTGAGCTAAGTGGGTCAACAATGTTTTGATGGCAAAGTTCAGAAGTTCACTGCAGACAGAAACTTAGAAAAAGGTTCTTCAGTGTCCTGATATTTTTGAATGTAATTTGAATCATCAACTGACCCCAAAACATTAACTATTGCTCTTAATCCATGTTTTTTTAATCAGTTTTAATCTCATGAATAAAAAAAATGAATGAACCTGTGTTTGTCGCAATGAACAGGTGCTCTGATAAGAAGATAAAAAAATTTGCTTTTTGGATCTATATGCAAAACATAATACATTTAAACTCTGGACATCCAACTGGACCAACCCCCAAAATGATCCACCACCATAAAACATGATGCTGCCACCACCATGTTTTATGGTGGGGATGGTTTTCTCCATCGGTGTCATTGAAGCTGGTAAGAGTTAGAGCTCAAATTTGGCCTTTTTGGAAGCATAGCAAGAAGAACGTCTTTGTAGAAACACAAACCTAAAATGCTTCTTTTGCAGTTAACAAAAAACTACGAGGAAAAGATCCAAAAATGTTTTTACCATATGAACAATTTCCTGGATGATGTAAAATTACCATTATAATGAACACATCTATCCTCAGGGTAAGATATGTTTTTCATTAGCAGTGACATGGAAGTTGATTAAAGATGATGGAAAATTAGCTAAATAGAAGGCAAGTCTGGACGACTATAGACTACAGTAATGGTTCCTCTTCCAGCAGGACAAGTAAAAACATCCAGCTAATTAGGATGGCCCGGTCAAGGTCTAGACATAAGCTTATTTAAGAATCTGACACATGCTATTCACAGATATACGCCGTGGTTATGCTTTGAAATGACAATATGATGTAGAGAGCTGATAGAACATCCCCCCAAAAATTCCTGTTATTCTACAAAGGATTGACTTTTGGGCATTAGTTACAAATGCAGTGCGCATTTCTCAACTTATCATGTGCAAAACAAGTAACTGTCTTTATTTATTACTTCAATTCCTTCAGAAAACATTGTAGTTTGTGGTTGTAATGTAATAAGCCTTAAAAAAGGTTTAGAAGATTAATACTCTTGCATTTCACTACTGTATGTCCTTTGTTCAATTAAACACCAAAAAAAACTATTCATAGAAAATCCATTAACAAAGAGAGTAATGGACAAACACATCTGAAGGACTGTTAAGCATTAGTTTGTGGTCTTTTTAACTTAATTTCATTCCCTTCTGATGTTTCTCAGATGATGGGGTTGGCGATATCTGTGAGTCTGACTTTGACCAGGACAAAGTTATTGACCGGATTGATAACTGCCCTGAGAACGCAGAGGTCACCCTGACAGACTTCAGGGCCTACCAAACTGTGGTGCTGGACCCTGAGGGAGACGCCCAGATTGACCCCAACTGGGTTGTTCTCAACCAGGTGAATTTGCTATCCTCTTAGTCTTTTTATGTAGTCTGAATATAGGACTTATTATAATAATATGCATTAAAAGTTTGTGTTGTTTGGGAAGGGCTTATATTCTAATGAATGACACACAACTCAGAATCAATTTAATGGTTTGCTCGCTAATGGAGTCACTCTTTCCAGGGTTTTCTTTCAATATATTTTCCTCTTATAGATGTCTTTGTTTTATATTGTACATTATAACTGCCATTTTAAAGGTATAGAAGGTTATGGGATCCGAGTGGACTAAATGGAGGGGAGTCAATAATTTACACATTCTTTGAGTTGCGTAAAATATGACTTCATTGTATGTCAAATTGAAGTGCAACTCTTTACAATAAATGCAGCTAATATGTTCTAAGACAAAAGTATACTGAAATCAGTACATGCAAACCTGTCCAAATGAGCAATATTTAAATCTGCATATCTTTCCACGCAGGGAATGGAAATAGTTCAGACCATGAATAGTGACCCCGGACTTGCTGTTGGTAGGATGCACACACCTTCTAAGACAATAACAACTAAGCTTCCGAAACAAAATCTACCTGAATACGCAAATTTTATTTCCTTGTATTTTCATCAGGATACACTGCTTTTAGTGGAGTTGACTTTGAGGGGACGTTTCACGTGAACACTGTGACCGATGATGACTATGCCGGCTTCATCTTTGGCTACCAGGACTCGTCGTCTTTCTATGTAGTGATGTGGAAGCAGACCGAACAAACTTACTGGCAGGCAACTCCTTTTAGGGCTGTGGCTGAACCCGGGATCCAGCTCAAGGTAAATGCAGAGATGCCTGTCCATATATGCAGCAGGGCTTTGAGACTCACCCTTTAACCTTTATTTATTTATTCACCTTTCCATTTCTTGTGTCAATGTGTGTGTATCTCTACTTGCATGTGTTTTAGGCTGTAAAGTCCAGGTCTGGGCCTGGAGAACATTTGAGAAACTCACTGTGGCACACAGGAGACACCAATGATCAGGTGCGTCTGCTGTGGAAGGACCCGAGGAACGTCGGCTGGAAAGATAAGGTTTCCTACCGCTGGTACTTGCAGCACCGTCCACAGGTCGGCTACATCAGGTATGATAAGGCTTTTCCGATTGCGTGATGGAAGCTTTTATTATTATTATTTCCTTTTTTACATCCCAGCAACAGAAGTAAAGTCATATTTTTGGTTGTTTAGGCAGAACTGTATTTTGTTGACAGGAGCTTTGTTATTCAATAGTTAAAATCAAACAGGGAGTGACAACATTCATCCCCTTCTCTTGCTCAGAGTGCGGTTCTATGAGGGAACTCAGCTGGTTGCAGATTCCGGTGTGACCATCGACACAACCATGAGAGGAGGGCGACTTGGCGTGTTCTGTTTCTCACAAGAAAACATCATCTGGTCCAATCTGAAATATCGCTGCAACGGTACAAAAACACATCCAGTGTAACTATGCAATATGGAAAAGTGTAATACTATTTTTATACTTATATATATATATAATTTTCCAGGTTTAAAAAAATTTTTTGATAAGAAAAAAAGTCTAAATAAAAAAATAAAACAGGTGTGGCTTACATGTACATAAATATTTAATATTGATATATAACAAGCAAATTTTCAAAGTTGTTTTGATTTCGAAGTTGTTGACACAGAACCTTTAAAAACACACACCCATTCATCCAAAGGTTAAAATAAGGACTAGACCTTTGCTCTTTAAAATTCTACAATCTATAGAACTGGTTTGAATGCATAATACAGCCTTTAAACTATTATTTTTACCCCCAAAAAAGTAAAAAGGAAAGAAAAACTCCAATTGTCACAAGCAGTGCTTAGACAAATTTTTATTGAGTGAAGAATACACTGTTCAGTATATATCTGAAGTTCAGTTTTGAACAGTCTATTAAGTTAGCACAGATGCAAACAAACCCTGCAAAGGTTATCATACAATTTCCTTTTTTTCTAAAACATAATAAAACCCAACCACTAAATACTTGAAATTTATATATGTAGAATCTTGAGAAAAAATATTTTGAAATCTGAGAATGGAGAAGTTTGAACTGGAAAATATGTAAAAACAGAAAACTTTACATGACACATGTTTCTAAACTAAACTTAGCCTCTGACCCACAAATGGTAGCAGGGTTGGTGTTTGACCCAAACTATTGGTTTAGTATACTAACGGTTATACAATATTAGTTAAAGGAATAGTACACCCAAAACATGATTAGCCTTCATTTTCTACTCACCTCCATGCTGAACAAAACTCTGGAGTACTTTTTTGATATCTCAAATGCATCTGGAGATCTGGGAGGCTTCTTGCTGTCTGCTGACATTCAAATAATGGAGGTCTATGGTGACCGAGACAGAAAGGTCCATAAAAGTCCACAAAAACGTGTCAATATTCCTCCATACTGCTCGTCCAATGTAATCCAAGTGTCCTGAGTGGGTAGCATCCAGAATTTACTCGAAACGAAGTGATTTAGAATGTTTTAGAGCCTAAACAGTAGTGTATAGGATTTCCTAATAGCGCCCCCATGCGCGCTCACGATTCTACGGAAGCCGGCAGACCAAACCGGAAGAAAGTGCGCATTCAGCGTCTGCTCTGCCGATAATGCAAGCGTAGAAGAAGAAATGTGCTGTTTACCTGTGCAAAGAAAGAAACAACGAAAGAAAAATGTCTGAGGACTTCAGTGTTGAGGAAGAGCATGAGTTCTTTGCCGAGCTGAATGCGCTGGTTTGGTCTGCCGGCTTCCGTAGAATCGTGAGCGTGCATGGGGGCGCTATTAGGAAATCCTATACACTACTGTTTATGCTCTAAAACGTTCTAAATCACTTCGTTTCGAGTAAATTCTGGATGCTACCCACTCAGGACACTTGGATTACATTGGACGAGCAGTATGGAGGAATATTGACACGTTTTTGTGGACTTTTATGGACCTTTCTGTCTCGGGCGCCATAGACCTCCATTATTTGAATGTCAGCAGACAGCAAGAAGCCTCCCAGATCTCCAGATGCATTTGAGATATCAAAAAAGTACTCCAGAGTTTTGTTCAGCATGGGGGTGAGTAGAAAATGAAGGCTAATCATGTTTTGGGTGTACTATTCCTTTAAGCACGGGTGTAACAATGTTTCATGCAGCATGAAAAAAAAAATTATGATTTTCATGCTTAAGTGATATTTTATGTATTTTAGCTCTTAAAATTAGATGTTTATTGTTTATTATAATTTCTGTAGAGTATCTCACAGTGGTTGATCAAAGACCCCAAGTGGGGTTCCTACCCCGATGCATTCTTTACCAAACAAACGTATAATATATATTTATAATGTACAGTTTACTGAGAAGAGTGTTTGTACCTTTACATATATTTTTGCTTTAGTTTTTTTTACACTTCAGTAACAGATTTGAAATAGAAAATAATAGAAAAATATGGGATTCAGTTTACAGTACAAGCTGGAATATACATCTGTTTAAGGAAGCCCAACATATTACATTGGATCATTAACCTTTATTAGTTAAACTATAGTTTTCTTGGGGGGGTTCTAAACAGCTTTATAACAAAAACTAACTCTCTACTCAGTAACCTCAACATGTATTTTTCTATTGACTGTCTAAGAAAGCTTTTTTTTTGTCTGATCTTGTTTCAAAAAGACTATTTCTAGCTCTCCTCATGATCTGTGTTATAACTCTTCCCGCAGATACCATCCCAGAGGATTTCCAAGAGTTCAGCGCTCAGCACACCGTTGACTCAATCTAAAGTCAAGGCTTATAGAAGCCTCGAAATCTACAAAGAGTGCATTTCTGTGTGGGTGTATCTGTATGGATGTGCATGGGGTGACTTGTATGTGCCGGTGTATTTTTGGTTTAAATGTGTTACAGAAACATTAACATATATGAGGACAAACTTGTACTGTATGCTCTTATTGTTAAGTCATTTTTATTCAAACCCTGTCTACTTAATCATCTATTTAAGGTCTCGGTTAGAAGTAGATAAAATAGACACATTTTCCAACTAATACTAAGCTGTATTTCATAAGATGTTAATAAATATGCAGTGAAACCACATTATAACCTATATAATTTGATTAAATGTTACTTTCAACCAGCTTTCATCCACCTACATTCAATGAGTTTTTCTTTATTATACCTTTGTCTGTAGTGGTTGACAAGTTTAATTTGTAGTTATCTAAGAACTTTCCATGTATAGGCAATTTTCCTTTGGCCTCCCTTTTCATAATGTGACAAATGAAGTTAAAAATGTTACAAGGACTCAAAATGGGGATTTTTTTTCAACAATAATTGCAATTGCAAATTTATTCTCATTTTCCTTCACACAAAAGCACAAGCATGTAAATGTTTCACTCCAGGGTTTCATTGTTTTTCTTTGTTGGTTTTATTGCTACTGTGGTAAGGTGCTACCTTCTAATGGCGTAAATGGATCTGTCTGCTAGATGGAAGTCTCATAATGAAAATGCAGTTTGAATTTATAATGTGCCAAATAAATGTACCTGACTTTGGACAGACTGTAAAAAAGGCAAGCTCAATTTCTTATGTGGCTTTGTTAGTTAGGATTTCTATTTCTGTTTTAACTTAAAGGTATAGTGGAGGATGTTCTTTTCCGGCTGGTTCATCAAAATATTGTCAATCATTCTGGTGATATGTTTACATAAGGCCGATCCATGTGCTCGTTCCCATTTTCACTTACCGGTGGTGAGTCTGACATAGTGGAAAATTTGCTAATCTTCTTTTGGAAAGTAAGCTTGTATGAGTGATGCAAACAGCCACTTTTAAACAGAAGGTGCACAAAGAGAAATGGGCTTGTGCATGCTCTCACATGCCTTTAACACCCATTCCCTCTCGGGAGTGGATACAGGGTTGTGCCTGTGCATTTTTTTTTTTCTTAAATGGAGAGGACGGGTCTTTTCAAAAATGTACAAAATTCCTCCACTTTAAGGACCAAGAAAACATTTGAGGGGAAAAAGGAAGAAACACTAAAGCCTTAGAAAACCCTCAGTGTAAAGCATGGGGGTGGCAGCATCATGTTCTGTTAAAGTTTTGCTATAGGAGGGAGTGGGGCAGAAAAATAGGTGGCAGAATGATGAAAAAAAAAACAATGTCTGTAATTATTTTAAGGAAACACTGACTTTACAAACGCCTTCACCAGTAGCTCACTGTGGTGCATAAAAAGATGTTTAACTTAAATTAAGGTGCCCTGTTTGCTTATTTTATTCTATTTCTGGGTCATAAGATAAGCTTAGAACATACTGTACCTAAAATACATACAGTTTCAATGTCAATTTACCACATACTAGCAAATGTTACCATATGAAGAAATAAAAAAAAATACAACAAATATCAAAATTTTGGCATTTAGCAAAGGGTAATGATTATAACGACCGTTACAGGTATAAGAAAGGCAACATTTAGGGTGGTTTAATGTTTGACCATGAGAAAAAAAAGACAGTGTTTTATAAAGCCATCTGGTTCCAGCTTTAAATTTTCAGTTGCCTCTTCAGAGCAAATAGTTCTGACACCAGCTTCTTAGTTTTTAAGTACTTCTAAAAATTAAATGCAGCAATAGATTTCAGAAAATATCTAAACAGAACAGATTTTAATAAACCGCTATATTGAACTGCGGTGTTTAACTTAATATTAAGCACCTGTATAGCATATAGTTAATAATGAAATCTAGAAATACAAGCTGCCAGAAAGGTATGGAAAAAATTATTTTTTAGCTTTTAAAATAACACAGAAGATATATATATATGTTATTTTTTTAAACATTATTTATCAGTAGCAGATAAGATAACTTGCACTGATTAAATCTTTTTTTTTCTCATTTTTTGCCATGTAAATATTAAAAACACATTTTAATGATGATTTATCAGAGTATACATAATATGCTCTGATGAAGCTGAATGAAAAGCTCTCATTAAAGTGATGCACAGATCAAGTGTGCAGAAATCTTTAGTTTGCTTCTGGGCTATTTTTGACTTCCAGCACGTTTACCAAGACGTATCAACGTTAAGCAGCAGACCTGCTACAGCTTCATGATGATTTAGACAAGGGAGAAAAAGAGGCTCTCCAAAACAACATTGAGCTGTGTGAAAAGATACACTATATTGCCAAAAGTATTTGCTCACCCATCCAAATTATTGGAATCAGGTGTTCCAATCACTTCCATGGCCACAGGTGTATAAATTCAAGCACCTAGGCATGCAGACTGTTTTTACAAACATTTGTGAAAGAATGGGTCGCTCTCAGGAGCTCAGTGAATTCCAGCGTGGAACTGTGATAGGATGCCACCTGTGCAACAAATCCAGTCGTGAAATTTCCTCGCTCCTAAATATTCCACAGTCAACTGTCAGCTGTATTATAAGAAAATGGAAGTGTTTGGGAACGACAGCAACTCAGCCACGAAGTGGTAGGCCACGTAAACTGACGGAGCGGGGTCAGCGGATGCTGACGCGCATAGTGCGAAGAGGTCGCCAACTTTCTGCAGAGTCAATCACTACAGACCTCCAAACTTCATGTGGCCTTCAGATTAGCTCAAGAACAGTGCGCAGAGAGCTTCATGGAATGGGTTTCCATGGTCGAGCAGCTGCATCCAAGCCATACATCACCAAGTGCAATGCAAAGCGTCGGATGCGGTGGTGTAAAGCACGCCGCCACTGGACTCTAGAGCAGTGGAGACGCGTTCTCTGGAGTGACGAATCGCGCTTCTCCATCTGGCAATCTGATGGACGGGTCTGGGTTTGGCGGTTGCCAGGAGAACGGTACTTGTCTGACTGCATTGTGCCAAGTGTAAAGTTTGGTGGAGGGGGGATTATGGTGTGGGGTTGTTTTTCAGGAGCTGGGCTTGGCCCCTTAGTTCCAGTGAAAGGAACTCTGAATGCTTCAGCATACCAAGACATTTTGGACAATTCCATGCTCCCAACTTTGTGGGAACAGTTTGGAGCTGGCCCCTTCCTCTTCCAACATGACTGTGCACCAGTGCACAAAGCAAGGTCCATAAAGACATGGATGACAGAGTCTGGTGTGGATGAACTTGACTGGCCTGCACAGAGTCCTGACCTCAACCCGATAGAACACCTTTGGGATGAATTAGAGCGGAGACTGAGAGCCAGGCCTTCTCGTCCAACATCAGTGTGCGACCTCACAAATGCGCTTCTGGAAGAATGGTCAAAAATTCCCATAAACACACTCCTAAACCTTGTGGACAGCCTTCCCAGAAGAGTTGAAGCTGTTCTAGCTGCAAAGGGTGGACCGACGTCATATTGAACCCTATGGATTAGGAACGGGATGTCACTTAAGCTCATATGTGAGTCAAGGCAGGTGAGCAAATACTTTTGGCAATATAGTGTAGCTGTTTCCTGAGCAATAGCTGGCAATAAAGCTTTTACTTCACTTTGGGGGAAATGTCTGTCTGTTCCCTCTGTTCTTTGCAAAATTGATTAGTTTCAACATGAGGGTTTTTGAGGATGAAGTGCATCCCAGTCAGGATTTAAAACAATACCACACAAAAATGTTTTTTTTTTTTTTTCTCATTTTAAATGGGAAATTTAATCGTATTGTTTTAGATCTTCACATAGCGTTTTGCTTTTTCTTTCCTTGTTTTTGTCTACTTTAAATCATCATTATATATTGATAATCTTCAGGTTTGAAAGTCAACTGGACTGGGTATGGTTAGTGATACTGAACCCAGCTTTTCAACTAGTTAGGTTAATGTTGGTTTGGATTGCATCTTTCTCCATGATAGAAACTGAAATCATCTGAAAACCTCAGTTGGTGTTTTCTCAGAAGATCAGGTTAAAGTTCCTATTACAGATTTTACAAGTGATATAATCACCTGATTTTAGTTTAAAGTTAAATTGATTATTTTAAAATGATTAGGATACCTTACTAGCAGTGTATTATCAAAGCTCTGCCTCAACATGTTATTTTAGATTTAGCATAAAAATATATTAACCAACACTAACAACAATCTGCAATGCTATAATTACTCCACTTACATAGTAAAATTGTCTGATACGTAAATGTTCACCCCAGAGCATGTTTTTCCTCATCTGTTCTGTTGAATAGCTGCTATATTTGTTGACTCTCAATCTTTTGTCGCAGAACAAAAGAGCTGCACATCAAGAGGTTCACTGCTCCCAGAGCAACAAAAAGAAAACCAAGTTTTTGAGAGGAGATATTTGGCAGAGGATGTGGAAGTGGTGATCTTCTTCAGAAAAGCGCTTTGATTGTTTCTTCAAAATAGATCGAAAGATAAATGAAGACCAAAAATAGGACAAAAGAAGTGAAAGAAATCAATGCAACAGACGGGGCAGAGGTTGAGATTGCAGCTTCAGTCATTTCTGCTTTGGGATGAAAAAGGGAATCATCTTCACACAGATTGATTTTGTGTGGCAGAAACATGAAATCACAGCAATTTGTGAAATGCATTGTGGGAATTACAATCTGTCTGTCCTTCCTTCCTTCCTTCCTTCCTTCCTTCCTTCCTTCCTTCCTTCCTTCCTTCCTTCCTTCCTTCCTTCCTTCCTTCCTTCCTTCCTTCCTTCCTTCCTTCCTTCCTTCCTTCCTTCCTTCCTTCCTTCCTTCCTTCCTTCCTTCCTTCCTTCCTTCCTTCCTTCCTAATCAGATCCAGCTGTTCCTGCTTCTATTTAAGCCGCCTGATCCCAGCCATTGGAGCCAGATTATTCCAGCTGTGTGTGAGAGTAACTCTAGCGATCCTGTGTGTTTCTGGTTTCCTGATCCTGACAAGTTTCTGCCATTGGACTTTTGTTTTGCCCCAGTTTCTGCTCTCTTTTTGGACTGATTCCTGGATTCTGCCTGCTAAACGACCTTAGACCTGTCTCCTGACCCGGGGTGGAATCTCCCTCGGTACCTCTTTGACTTTCTGATCTTCTGACCTGGAAACCTGCTCCTGCTATGACTCTGGATTTGGATTCTCTCTACAGATACTTCTGCTCTTCCCCATCTGCTGGCTTCTGCTCATCAGCCTGCTCAGCTTTTCTCCTGGAAAACTGGGGATGGCTCCTGCTGCATGCTGTGGAGAAACGATTTATCTGGATTTTATGGAATCTCGTGGAATGAAAACCATCCTTCATAGAAAGTGATAAGAATACCCAATTTCCATTTCACCACTATAGTATCCAATCACACGTATTTTTCAGTTGTAATAAGGCTCACTGTATTTATAATTTTGAGGTTTTTTTCAAATAGTCTGTTATAAAAGCAGTTAGACTTTACTTGCTCCTTAAGTGAAAATACAGCTAAAACTGCATCACTATGATAATGAAACTCTTAAAAACTTCAGTATAAGACAGGTGGATAAACAAATGCATGTGATTCATAACATTTTTGCCATTTTTCACTCAACTCGGATGCATCAAATTTGAGCAGATATTCTAGTCGATGCCAGATGGCATTGGACAGGTGTTTGTCTATGACAGACAGGACTGTGTGTCTTATCCATCTGGCCCTGCTGTTATGCTCTTTAGCTATTTGTTTACATGCCATAGACTCTCCTA